CAGGCCTTGGAGGCCGCGCAGCAGCAGCACTAGGCCCTGCTGCTGCTGCTGCTGCTGCTGCTGCTGCTGCTGCTGCTGCTGGCGAAGCGCTGTCCTCCGGGCCTACTGCTGGGCCGTTGCCGCCGTCCCTGGCAGGCCCCTGGGGGCCCTCCCTGCTGCTGCTGCTGCTGCTGCTGCTGCTGCTGCTGCTGGGCGCGCGGGCTGCTGCGTGGGAGAAGCCGTGTTGCGCTGGCGCTGCGTCTCGCGGCTCCGACGCGAGCCGGGGGCTCTTGCTGCTGCTGGTGTTGCTGCCGTTGCTGCTGCCGCTGCTGCTGCTGCTGCAGTTGTAGTCGCCGGTGGGTTGTGGGAGGCCTCTGGGGTGTGTGGCGTGTTGCTGCTGCTGCTGCAGCAGCTGCTGCTGCTGCTGCTCGTGCTGCGGCAGCGGGTCCTCGAGCGGGACGATGTTGGTTCTGCAGGAGGGGCAGCGCGTGAGGCCGGAGGCGGCCGCGCTGCTGCTGCTGCTGCTGCTGCCGGCAGCAGCAGCAGCAGCAAGACAAGAAAAGCAAAACCTGTGGCAGCAAGCCCGCAAAGTCACAGGCTCTTCCACTACATCTAAACAAATGGGACATAAATACTTCTCCGGAGAAGGAGGGGCTCCAGCTGCTGCTGCTGCTGCTGCTGCTGCTGCTGCTGCTGCTGCTGGCGAAGCGCTGTCCTCCGGGCCTACTGCTGGGCCGTTGCCGCCGTCCCTGGCAGGCCCCTGGGGGCCCTCCCTGCTGCTGCTGCTGCTGCTGCTGCTGCTGCTGCTGCTGGGCGCGCGGGCTGCTGCGTGGGAGAAGCCGTGTTGCGCTGGCGCTGCGTCTCGCGGCTCCGACGCGAGCCGGGGGCTCTTGCTGCTGCTGGTGTTGCTGCCGTTGCTGCTGCCGCTGCTGCTGCTGCTGCAGTTGTAGTCGCCGGTGGGTTGTGGGAGGCCTCTGGGGTGTGTGGCGTGTTGCTGCTGCTGCTGCAGCAGCTGCTGCTGCTGCTGCTCGTGCTGCGGCAGCGGGTCCTCGAGCGGGACGATGTTGGTTCTGCAGGAGGGGCAGCGCGTGAGGCCGGAGGCGGCCGCGCTGCTGCTGCTGCTGCTGCTGCCGGCAGCAGCAGCAGCAGCAAGACAAGAAAAGCAAAACCTGTGGCAGCAAGCCCGCAAAGTCACAGGCTCTTCCACTACATCTAAACAAATGGGACATAAATACTTCTCCGGAGAAGGAGGGGCTCCAGTTAGCTGCTGCAGCACAGCATCACTTAGGGTGTCTAGGGAGCTCAGCAGGTGCGGCAGCGCCAGCGAGGAGTGCCAGCTTTCTCTCCGCAGCACCGAAGCAGCAGACGAGAAGCACGCCGTCATTATGTTGCTGCTGCTGCTGCTGCTGCTGCTGCTGCTGCTGCGGGGTCCCGCAGACGGAGCCGTCGACGTCGTCGAGCTGCTGCTGCTGCTGCTGCTGCTGCTGCTGCTGCTGCTCTTTCCCGCCTCCGGCGCAGCCAGGCTCTCCGCCACCTGCAGGAAGCAGCAGCCGTGGCACGGGTGCGCCGGGTCTGCTGCTGCTGCTGCAGCAGCAGCAGCAGCAGCGCCTCCCGGCAGCGCAGCAGCCACTGCGCCCGGCGACACAGCAGCAGCAGCAGCGCGATTCAAGCTGCTGCTGCTGCTGCTGTGTCCCCCCGTCGGAACCTCCGCAGCTTCCCCCAGGCTCCCTGTTGCTCCTGCTGCTCCTGCTGCTCCTCCGCTGCCCCTCGCTGCCATCGCTGCTGCTGCTGCTGCTGCTGCTCCCCCACCGCCGCCCGCAGCAGCCGCCGCTGCAGCAGCAGCAGCAGTCGTGGACAAACGAGCGCCTGCTGCTGCTGCAGGCGCTTCGCAAGTGCACAGCAGCTTCTTCCTGCTCGCAAACACCAGCACGCAGGTACAAACACGAAGTTGCTGCTGCTGTCCCTCTTTCTGCTGCTGCTGCTGCTGCTGCTGCTGCTGCTGCTGCTGGCGCCCATGCAAACTCTGAGTCAGCATGACCCTCCTCGGTCTCCTCCTCAGCAGCAGCAGCAACAGCCTCCGCAGCAGCAGCAGCCATAAAAGACCCCGCAGCGCGAACAACAGCAGCAGCAGCAGCAGCGCAGCACACTCGACAGCAGCAGCACATTCAGAATTAGGGCGCACTCGACAACAGCAGCAGCAGCACAGCACACTCGGCAGCAGCAACAGCAGCAGCGCAGTACACTTGACAGCAGCAACAGCAGCATGGCACACTCGACGGCAGCAGCAGCAGCAGTACAGCGCACTCGACAGCAGCAGCAGCAGCAGCGCAGCACGCTCGGCAGCAGCAACAGCAGCAGCAGCACAGCACACTCAACAGCAGCAGCGGCACCAGCACAGCACACTCCGCAGCAGCGGCACCAGCACCATAGCACACTCGACAGACGGAGCAGCAGCAGCGCAGCACACTCGACAGAAGCAGCAGCAGCAGCAGCAGCAGCAGCAGCAGCGCAGCACACTCGACAGAAGCAGCAGCAGCAGCAGCAGCAGCAGCAGCAGCAGCAGCAGCAGACCTTTTCTTGGTAATTTTGACGATAGCGACAGTATTCCAAATTATGAATTTCCGAAGATCGCGGCAGCCCTTAGAAGCTTCCTGCAGTCTTCTGCAGAAACGAATTAGAGAGTCCAAAGCGTTTGCTGCTGCTGCTGCTGCTGCTGCGCCGCTTGGCTCTGCTGCTGCTGCTGCTGGCTCGGCGGCTGCAGCTGCTGCTGCTGCTGCTTCGGACTTGTCGAAGGGTGCGCCGCCTGCTGCTGCTGCTGCTGCTGCTGCAGGTTTCTCTCCAGGCCTCAGAAGCAGCTCCTCCCGAGAAGTCCCTGCAGCAGCAGCTGCTGCTGCTGCACCCGACTCCGCCGCAGCAGGTGCTGCTGCACCCGTTTCCGCTGCTGCTGCTGCTTCGCCTGCAGCAGCTTTCCCTCCAGAAGCATATCCTTCGGACTGCAGCACAGCAAGTACTTCTTCAAGAGAAGTAGCAGCAGCAAGTCTGCTGCGGGTCTCTGGAGGCAGCTGCTGCAGCGCCGCAGCCCAGGAGCCTGCAGGAGCAGCAGCAGCTGCTGCAGCAGCAGCAGCAGCAGCACACCGCCCCGCTTCTGCAGCGCCAGGACCTGCCTCAGCAGCTTCTCCTTCCGCCAGCCCGCGCTTGCCATCTTGCTGCTGCTGCTGCTGCTGCTGCTGGCGGAGGGCGCTCGGGGGGGCGTGCTGCTGCTGCAGGAACTCGCGCTGCAGCAGCTGCTGCTGCTGCTGCAGCTGCTGCAGCTCCTGCGCGTACTCGTCCCGCACTGCAGCAAGCTCCGCCTCCAAGTCCTCGAAGAACAGCTGCAGCGCAGCAACACAAGCAGCATAGCGCCGCTGCCGCAGCAGCGCAGCAGCAGCTTTTATTCTTTTCTTCAGCTTTTTGTAATCCAGAAAGTGAAAGCGCTGGCAAGCCCACGCCTCCCTCCGGATGTTCTTTCCAAACTTCATCCTGCTGCTGCTGCTGCTGCTGCTGCTGCTGCTGCTGCTGCTGCGGCTGCTGCTGCTGCTGCGGCTGCTGCTGCTGCTGCTGCTGCAGCTGCTGCGGCTAATGCTGCTGCTGCTGCTGCTGCGGCCGGCGCGGCGGGGCCGCTCTTGCTGCGGGCGCCGCTGCAGCTGCGCCCGGCGCTGCTGCTGCTCAGGCGCAGCAGACCGCTGCTGCTGCTGCTGCTGAAGGCGGCGCCCCGGGCCTCCGGCTCCTCTGCTACGGGCTGCTGCTGCTGCTGCTGCTGCTGCTGCTCTGGGAAGCCCGAAGCCAGTAGAGGGGCATGCAGGGGGCAGAGCGCCGAGGCTCTGCTCCGTTGAGGTTAGCTGCCGCTGCTGCTGCTGCTGCTGCTGCTGCTGCTGCTGCTGCTGCTGCTGCTTATTGCTTGTTTCACTCCAGCCGCCGCTCCTCCGGTGCGACAGAGTGCCTGCCGCACGTACTACTGCCGCAGCCCGCGAAGACGCCAAGGCCTGCTGCCGCTGCTGCTGCTGCAGCTGCTGCTGCAGCTGCTGCTGCTGCTGCTGCCAATCCTCCTGCTAAAACGCCAATTCTCCTCTTAAACGGCTCTCTTGAGCCGTTTCTGCTGCTTCAATGGTGAAGCATTGGCAGGCCGAGTCGCGCATGTATTGTGCTGCACCAGCTGCTGCTGGGGGTCGCTGCTGCTGCTGCTCCTGCAGCAGCAGCAGTCTTCCTGCTGCAGCTGCAGCGTCCCTGATGCAGAAGATTAAACAGCACATTAAAAAACCCAAGGGCCTCACCGGGCTCCGGGCGTAACGTCCTACAGCAGCCCCTGGCTCCCCAGGCGCGCAGCAGCAGCAGCAGCAGCGGCAACAGCAGCAGCAGCAGCAGCAGCAGCAGAACCGCTCGTCACCAGCTGCCCCCGCCCGGCTTCCTTCCGCCGTCCAAGCTGAGCTTCTTTTTTTAAACTTAAACACCTCAAAGCAGTTGGCAAAACGCCCACTGTTACAGGCGGAGCTGCCGCTCTGCTGCTGCTACCTCTGCTGCAGCTCTTGCCGCTGCTGCTGCTGCTGCTGCTGCCAGTCTCGTCACTGGTCAGGTTAATAGCCGCCAACTCAAACAGCAGCAGCAACAGCAGCAGGAACGAATCGCCAATGCAGTTATCATGGAAGACATAATATATCTTTCCTTTAAAACCCCGACAGCAGCGCCAGCAGCAGCAGCAGCAGCAGGGGAACGGGAGCAGCTTGACTAACAGCTCCTGCTGCTGCGCTTGCTAAAGTTGCTGCTGCTGCTGCTCCCAGCGCAGCTACAGTTTGAAGACTGGATGACTCACCAACAGGCGCAGCAGCAGCAGCAGGAGGTACGAGGTCAGCAGCTGCTGCAGCACGAGCACTCGGCGTTAGCAGCAATAGCTGCCACAGAACTAGCAGCAGCAGCAGCAGCGGCAGCAGCAGCAGCAGCAGCAATATTAAAAACAGTGGCAGGATGAACAGTTAGAGGGGCACATATTGATTCTCCATCTTCCTGTGGCTGTTTCGCGCGGTGGCGTTCTGCAGCTGCAGCGGCAGCAGCAGCAGCAACAACAGCAGCAGCAGCAGCAACAGCAACAGCAGCAACAGCAACAGCAGCAGCAGCAGCAACAGCGGCAGCAGTGGCAGAATTCATCGCCATAGTCCAGGAGCGTCTGCTGTTTGTCAGGTGGGGAGCAGCACAGGGAGGACTGGTCAGCAGCAACAGCAGCAACAGCAGCAGCAGCAGCAGCAGCAGCCGGTGCAGCTGCGGCAGCAGCAGCCACAGCAGCAACAGCAGCTGAGTCGACTGAAAGGCCCGAAATAATGGGGACCACCGCCGAGTGTGCTGCTGCAGAAGCTGCTGCTACCGCTGCGCCTGCTAACCAGCCGCTGCAGGCCCAGCAGCAGCAGCAGCAGCAGCAGCAGCAGATGCAGCAGCAGCAGCAGCAGATTGGCGCTGCGTGTAGTTTGTGCGTGGTGTCCGTTCACTCCAGCTCCCGCCCTCAGCCCCTCGACAGCGCAGGTGACCCTAAAACACAGCAGCAGCAGCAGCTGCCGCAGCAGCAGCAGCAGCAGCAGCAGCAGCTTGTGCTGCAGGTGCGGATAGTGTCTGTGGCGTGCATATTCGCGTCTCTGTTTGTTGCTGCTGCTGCTGCTTGCTGCTGCTGCTCCTCGGCCCCCCCCTCCCTCTCTCTTGCTGCTCTTGCCCTTGGGGTGCTGCTCGACGCAGCAGCATCTGCTGTTGTTCTTTGGCGTTTCCAGAGGGGCCCTTCGGGGGCCCCCCTCAAGCAGCAGCAGCAGCAGCAGCAGCAGCAGCAGCAGCAGCAGCAGCAGCAGGAGCTGAGACGCACACTTGGGGGACTTTTTTGCGGGGGCAAGCCGAAGCCAGTTGAGCTGCAGGATCTCGAAAGGGAGGCTTCAACAGCTTCGACGGCTGCTGCTGCAGAAGGTGCAGCAGCAGCAGCAGCAGCAGCAGCTGCTGCTGCTGCTGCTGCTGCTGACAAGGAAGTCGAGGACATCGTCCCCGCTGCAAGTCCAGCGGAAGACGGGGCTACGCTGGAGGCCCCCTCGGGGGCCGGCACAGCAGCAGCAGCAGAAGCAGCACAGACTGAGGCAGCAGCAGCAGCAGCAGCAGCAGCAGCTGCTGCTGCTGCTGCTGCTGAGGCGGTTGTGGAGAAGAGGGAGCAGCTGGCGAGCCGGCTGGTGGGTTTTGTGCTGCTGCTGTCGGGCCTGTGGGTGTGTCTTCATTCTTGCTTCGCGTTGCAGGCGCACGAGCGAGCAGCAGCAGCAGCAGCAGCAGCAGCAACAGCAGCAGCAGCAGCGGCGCTGCAGCAGCAGGCCGTGGCCGCAGCAGCAAAGACCTTCTGCGTCACTGCCCCTGCTGCCTTCATTCTCTTCTTTATTTGTCTTTATAAACGCCACTTAGCTTTCAAACTCAGCAGCAAATTGCTGCACTTGGACTTCCGCTCTTCAGCTTTCTCGCTGCTGCTCTCTCTTGTTGCTGCTGCTGCTTCCGCGCTTTGCCTTTTCCTCCACAGGGGCCCCCCAGGGGGCCCCGGGGGGCCCCCCGAGGGGCCCCCCAGGGGGCCCCCCGAGGGGCCCCCCAGGGGGCCCCCCGCAGACCCACAGCGGGGCGTGGGGGCCCCCGGGGGCCCCCACAAGCGGGCCCTAGCAGAGGGCCTCTATGGGGGCTCCCCAAAGGGGCCCCCAGGGGGGCCCCCACTCCAGGGGCCCCTAGAGGGGCCCCCACAGCGGGGGCCCCTTGAGGGGCCCCCACTGGAGGGGCCCCCAGAGGGGCCCCTACAGCAGGGGCCCCCAGAGGGGCCCCCACATGGGCTTGTAGAGGGGCCCCCACAGGGGCTTCTAGGGGGGCCCCCCCAGCGGGGGCCCCTGGGGGGGCCCCCACAGCAGGGGCCCCTGGGGGGGCCCCCACAGGGGGGCCCCCCGGGGCCTTCTTTGCCCCCCAGTTATGATTCTCTTGCTGCTTTATTTGTTTCCTTTTTCATGATTGCTGAGGGGCTTCGCATTTCGTGCTGCAGCAAGTCCCGGAGGGCCCGGAGGGGCCCCTAGAAGCAGCAGCAAACGCGCAAGGGGCTGTGCTGCTGCTGCTGCTGCAGCAGCAGCAGCAGCCGGTGGTCCTGCTGTTGCTGCTGCTGCTGCGGGGGGGATTGTCCGTAATAGTAAAGAAGATAGCGCTGCAGTGTCTGTACACTGGAGCTCCCCACGTTTGCCTAGAGCTTTTAGTTTACCGAATTTATTTCGTTTGCTGCTGCTGCTGCTGCTGCTGCTCGCCTGCACGGAAGCCTCAGCAGCAGCCGCTGCTGCTGCAGCAGCAGCTGCTGCTGCTGCTGCAGCTGCTGCAGCTGCTGAAGGCTGCGCAGCAAGAGCTGGCAGCCAGGCTGAGGGTGCAGGGGAACGGAGCGGTGCAGCTGCTGCAGCGGAAGCTAGAAGTGCTGCTGCAGCAGCAGCTTTCTCTGCTGCAGCAGCAGCCGCTGGCTGTGCTGCTGCTGCAGCTTTAGCAGAGTCTAGAGGACTCGTTTTTCTCCGAAGCGATTTTAAAAAATGTTTTAAAATTTAAATCTCTTTGTGCTCTTGCGCTGCCCCTGTTAGGGTGTACGTACACCGCAGCACCAGCAGCAACAGCAGCAGCAGCAGCAGCAGCAGCAGCTGCTGCTGCCGCTGCTGCGGTGTACGCGGGAGACACATAAAGACACTGAGCTGAAGAGGCTGCAGCAGCAAAGAAACACAAACAGCAGCAAAAGTGCACTTGCTGCAGTTAGGCAAACATATAAATGAAAACATTATTTATATTTACTTTCCATTTAAATAAATGCAATTATATTTACTTTTTATTTCTTTTTTTATTTTTATTATATAAAGGTATATTTATATAAATATATTAAATATATATATTTATTTATTTATTTATTTAATATATTTATATCTTTAAAGATGTCCCTATATCTCCCATATGAGCCTTTTATACTTTTTGAATAATTAAAAACAGATTTAAATATTTAAATTAAAAACTTTTAATTAAAAAACTTTTAATTAAAAAACTTTTAATTAAATCTTTTCTTCTGCACTTGGGCAATGCAGAAGTACATTCAGGTGTACGTACACCTGGGCCTTCAAATCCACTTTTTCATTTTTTTGAAAAACACTTTTGCATTTTATTTTTAAATCCAACTATTTCCACTTTGAGCCCAGCTCCAGCGGCAAACTCTAAACCCTAAACCCTAAACCCTAAACCCTAAACCCTGGCACACTGGGGCAGGCGGCGCTCCAGGAAACGCAGAAGCAGCAGCAGCAGCAGCCGCAGCGGCAGCAACAGCAGCAGCAGCAGCAGCAGCAGCGGCTTCCCAGTTGTCTCTGAGGTGGGCCAGAGCAGATCGTGAGGCTGAGAACCCCAGCCTCTAAACCCTAAACCCTAAACCCTAAACCCTAACTTTGCACTTTAGGCCGTGGCCAATAAAGCCCAAACCCTGATTGTCTGGCTCTGTCTGCGTCTCTCTGTCCGCGTATCTAAGGGTTTAGGGTTTAGGGTTTAGGGTTTGGGGTTTAGGGTTTAGGGTTTAGGCTGTGGCTTGCTGGGCAGACAGGGGGTCTTGGGCGGGAAGTTTGGGGTGTACGTACACCGCGAGAGCCCCGCAAGGCGTGTTTCAGCAGTTTTGATTTATCATTTTATTTTTTTGGAATTAAAAGAAGCAAAAGAAGCCACAGAAGCAGCAGCAGCAGCAGCAGCAACAGCAGCAGCAGCAGCAAGCCGACAGGAAGCCCGGAGGAGTGGACCAGCCCACGAGGTGTACGTACACTGGCGGTGGCCAGCAGCAGCAGCTCAGCGGCGCCAGCAGCAAACAGCAGCAGCAAACTGCTGAAGTTTCTGTTTTAAATTAAGACTTTAAAGTCAAAAAACTCGAAAAAACTCTCAAAACAGCAGCAGCAGCAGCTGCTGCTGCTGCTGCGGCCCGCGAAAGACGCACCAGCCGTTGGGCCCGCTGCTGCCGCTGCTGCTGCTGCTGCTGCTGCTGCTGCTGCTGCTGCATGTTCATCCCTGTACGCGGGCGACAGTACTTTTTGGCTCTTTAATTCAATAAATTGTCTCTATTTATTTGCTGTTGAGTTCTTTTAAATTACGGAAAGTCCCATCTGGGCCCTCCGACCGCGGCAGTGAAGAGGGGCCCTGTGCTGCTGCTGCTGCTGCTGCTGCTGCTGCTGCTGCTGCTGCTGCGCCTGGACTCGCGCTGAGGTGTACGCACACAGCGGGCTTTCAGGGGACTCGAGCGTTCTTCTCCGCTGCCCAGCTTCTGTTTAGTTGTTGCCTTGCAGACTTGCTGGAAGCAGCAGCAGCAGCAGCAGCAGCAGCAGCAGCAGCAGCAGCAGCGGAGGGTCTCGCCGTCGGCAGCGCGGCGGGGCGCGTGCAGCCGCCAAGGCAGGAGCAGCAGCAGCAGCAGCAGCAGCAGCTGCACCTGTGTCTCATTTTTATCTCATTTGCTTTTCTTCTTTGCTGCTGCTGAGTCCTTGAGGGCCCGGGGTGTCTGTACACCGAAGGCAGCAGCAGCAGCAGGCGGCTGGCTGCGCCTCGTTTGCTGCTGCTGCTGCCGCGGGGACGGCAGCAGCAGCAGCAGCAGCAGCAGCAGGGAAAAGCAGCTCCTGCTGCTGCGGCCACCGCACCTGCCCCTCCCCTGCGTTTCCTTCCCCGCCCCCACCTTGCTGCTGCTGCTGCTGCTGCTGCTGCTGCTGCTGCTGCTGGATTTCTCCGTAGCTAGCTGATGGGTTTCTTAAAGATGGGGCCCCCAGACCCGGGGCCCCCCCTGAGTGCCCCCGGGGGCCCCCCGGACTGTGGGGGCGTCCCGCAGGGGCCCCCCTGGGGGCCCCCCTGGGGGCCCCCCGGGGCCCCCGGAGTCGTCCTGGGGCCCCCCGGGGGCCCCCCGGGTCCCCCCGGGGCCCCCGGAGACGCCCCGGGGCCCCCCGGGGCCCCCCGAGCCCCCGGAGGCCCCCCCGGGGGCCCCCCAGGGGCCCCAGGGGCCCCCCAAGACTGGAGCTGGGCCTACGGACTGGTGAAAGGCGTGGGGTGGAGCGAAGAACAGGGAAGAAGGCCCGAAATGGAAGACGGAATGGTAATAGTGAAGGGCTTTGGGGGCCAGCGGGGGGCCTGGCTGCTGGGGGTTTATGACGGCCACGGGGGCCGCCAGACTGTCGATTTGCTGCTGCAGCAGCTGCACCGCAGCATTTGGCGCGAAGTGCTGTGCCGGGCTTACCGGCGGCGAGACGAGCTGCTGCAGCGGGGCTTTGCTGCGCTTCTGGGGGCCCCCGGGGGCCCCGGGGGGCCCCCGGGGGCCCCCGGGGGGGCCCCCGGGGGGGCCCCCAAGGGGGCCCCCGAGGGGCCCCTGCCGGCCCCGCTGGCCCTTTGTACCCAAAGGGACATTCAGGAGGCCCTCGTTGCTGCCTTCAAAGCCACGGACGAGCAGATCCTCCGCGCGGGCATTAAGGAGAGTGGCAGCACGGCTTGCGTCTGTTTGCTGCACCCCCGCCTCGTGCTGCCCTGCAGCAGCAGCAGCAGCAGCAGCAGCAGCAGCAGCAGCAGCAGCGGGTCCGGGGAGGCGAGCAGCGGCGGGAGCTCTCCGTCGACGGCGGCGACTGCGTCGCGGAGCAGCAGCCGCCAAGGCGGCTTGCCGCCGCCGCAGCCGCCCAGCAGCAGCAGCAGCAGCAGCAGCAGCAGCAGCAGCAGCAGCAGCAGCAGCAGCAGCAGCTTGCCGCAGGTGTGCGTGGACGTGCACGCAGCCCACCTGGGAGACTCCCGCGTGCTGCTGGTGTTCAGCGACGGCAGCTGCCTGCGGCTGACTGCAGCAAACGACCACAAGGCCTCAGCAGCAGCAGAAACGCAAAGAGTGGAGCAGCTGGGGGGGTTTGTGATGGGGGAAAGAGTCAACGGAATGCTGGCCATAGGCCGGGCTTTTGGGGACTGGGCCCTCAAGTTGGGCCCGCAGGCCAGTCCGCTGCTGCTGCCTGCTGCTGCTGCTGCTGCGAGGGACTTCGTGGTTTCCAACCGCCCGGACGTCCGCACCGAGACCTTCGTGCTGCTGCAGCAGCAGCAGCAGCAGCAGCAGCAGCAGCAGCAGCGGCAGCGGGGGAGGCGGGGAGACGCGGGAGAGGGAGAGAAGCACCGCGCCGGGACGCACGCAGCACCAGAGGCAAAGGACGCAACGCACTGCAGCAGCAGCAGCAGCAGCAGCAGCAGCAGCAGCAGCAGCGGCAGGGTCGTGGCGGAGCAGCAGCAGCAGCGGGAACCCGCGCTGCTGATTCTGGGCTGCGACGGACTCTTTGATGTCATTGAAGACAATGCTGCTGCTGCTTTTGCCCTGGGAGTGGTGCGAGCTGTTGCTGCTGCTTGTCCTGCTGCAGCAGCAAGCGAAGCAGCAGAAGCAGCAGCAAGGGCCCTCGTCCACGAGGCCATTTCCCTCCGAATGAGCGGAGATAATGTCTCCATCATCATTTGCGTCCTGCAGCAACTCCAGGATCTTGCTGCTGCTGCTGATGCTGCTGCTGCTGCTGCAGACGCCGCCAGCGGCCGCCTCAGCGCCGCAGACCAGCAGCACAACGGCACCCAGCCAGGGACCTCCCAAGCAGCAGCAGCAGCAGCAGCAGCAGCAGCAGCAGCTGCTGCTGCTGCAGGACACCCAATGGACGGAGGCCTCTGGCAGCGCGTGGGGCCTGGCGGACTCCGACAGAGCGCGGTGGACGTTCCTCCCGAGTTTGCTGCTGCTGCTGCTGCTGCTGCTGCTGCTGCTGCAGCAGACGAAGAGCAACAGACAGCCGCATGCCAAGACCTAGCACTGTCCCCCCATGCCCACGAGGAGGACGCTGCACTTAGCAGCAGCAGCAGCAGCAGCAGCAGCAGCAGCAGCAGCAGCAGCAGCAGCAGCGGCAGGAGCAGCAGCAGCCGGCAATGCCTGCCGGCAGCCCCTTGTGGGGGCCCTCCGCGGGCGCCGAGGGGCCCGCGGGGGGGCCCCTGGGGGGGCCCCCGGGGGCCCCGCCGCTGGCCTTTGCTTCCCCCAACGCAGCAGCAGCAGCAGCAGCAGCAGCAGCAGGAACAGCGTCCGAAGTGCTGCTGACTGGGGGGCCCCGCAGGGGCCTTTCTGCTGCTTACGGCTTATCGAAATGAGCGGGGGGGCGGGCTGAGGTGTACGTACACTCCAAACCCAGGGGCCCCCCAACTGTGGGGCCCCACACTTAACACCCCACAGCCGGGGGGCCCCCCAGTGCCAGGGGGGCCCCCCAGGGGCCCCCAGGGGCCCCCAGGGGCCCCCAGGGGCCCCCAGGGGCCCCCAGAGAATGTTCTTAAGGGCAGAGCCACGGGAGAGCCCATATGTACAAAAGAAATATAATTGTAAATGAATTGTTAATTGTAAATGTTCGTTTGTATATCACTTGTGCATGCATCCAGACAATATTCACACAATAAATGCAAATATATACAATAAATGCAAATATATATATATATAAATATATATTATTAAATATATATATTAATATATATATATATTAATAAATATATATATTAATAAATATATATATATTAATAAATATATGTACTAGTAAATATATATATTTGTAAATATATATCCATGAGATATATAAACATTAATATATGAAAAGTGATGCGCTTTTTACTTTTATAGAAAAGACTCAACATTGGGCAAAGAGGCTCTTTAACAAAAACAAATAAAACAAAAGAGGGATTTATTACTTCAAACAAAAGCCCCAAATTGCGGAATTTATGTCCCAAAAAACTCTTTAAATGCATGCAAAAAGGTGCAAAACTGCGCATTAATAGAGGGGTGGCCTCCGCGGCAAAAAAGAAAACAAAAAAGAAAACAAAAAAGAAAAAAAAAGCAAAAAGAAATTTTCCTGCTCGCCCACGAGGTGTACGTACACCCCAGCGGCTCTGGAGTGTATGTACAGCTCAGGCAACTGCAGGAGGCCGGAAAGCTGCGGAAATTTGCATTTAAAATGCAATAAATGCTCATAAATAAACAGGAAAAAAGGTTTTTTTTATTCTTGAAACTCGGGGGAAGTAAAAGAACTCAAAAAGATGTTTATTTGCATCTCTTTTCGCATTTTGCCATTTACAAGCGCGGGCGCAGGTGTATGTACACCGCGCTTCGGACAAACGCTGTATTTATAATACCTTTGTTATCATTATATAATATTTGTATTATTAGTTCTTTTATATTATAATGTAGAAAATGTATTATATCAATCTAAAATATCACTTTAGATCTCTATAATAATATATATTTATATGTCTAAATGGCCTTACTGCGTGGAAAGTGTATATATAAATAATTGTATAGTATATTTATGTATATATATGTAAATATTTATATACTTTATTTATATATACATATTCAGATTTATAACTGTTTTATGTATTTACATATATTGTATATGTTTATGCCTGTTTATATATGTGCATGCATATATACATATATATATATATATATATATATTCATATTATAGATATAACTATATATATAATTCTACATATATACACATATATATATGTATATTCATATATATATAATTATATATTTACATATATATATATTTAAATATATTTATATATTTATATATATATGTACATTAGCCCAGACCTAGCGAAGTGCACTTTCAGACGAATTACCTGATCTGCAGATAAATCCAAAATAAAGAATTTTTAATAAAAGTAATTTTAATAAGTAAAAAAGGAAATTGCCTCCTTAGTGGCATGCAAAATTGCATAAACGCTCTACTTATTTTGCTTTATGGCCCCGTAGAAGCAGCAGCAGCAGCAGCAGCAGCACAGCAGCAGC